GTGGCAATGGCAGCGACGGCGGCAGCTTCAACGAGCTTATGGTGTACCTCAGTGAAGGCTTAGTAGTCGACAGTACGACAGAATCGTTTGACTTAGTTTAATGGTGGAGAGAACGGGCATTAACTTGGCCAATCCTAACTCAATTGCCAATGGATATATTGTCAATCCCACTATTTCATCCGAACAAGCATTCAGTACGACATGAAAAATACTTAAGGAACGCCAGAATGCATTGTAAAGGGATATTATTGAAGCCTTAGTTTGCATTAAGGATTGGGAACAGGCCGATCAACGTCTACATGATACAATTTCGCCGGCAAGCCAAGAATGGATCGATGAATTTAATCGATTAACATTTAATTTTGAAGACGATCATTCAGCTTCAAATTAAATTGTAAATTTGTAATTTGTAAATATGTATTTATTTTTGACATTGTATTTGTAATTGTATAACTTTGTAAGTTTGTAAAATTTGTAATTCGTCACAAAATGATTGCACTCCTTTTTCCTTGTCAAGTTTTTATCCCAATTGAGTTTTTCTTGGTAAGGTTTTTAACGAGGCAATCATGAATTACAAATTTAATATACATGATTAATTTATTCAATTGTGTTAATAATGTTTGTTGAATGTTGATTTTGATTTTTATATAATTTTAACACAAACTAACTTAATAATTATAAAAATTTAAAAATATTAAAAAAAATTTCGGAATATTCGGGCGGGCTCGGGCTGCCTGGCCGGGTTTGGACAGCCAAATATAAGCCCGCGGCCCGTTGAAGGGCATTTTCGGGCTCGGGTTCGGGTAAAAACTCGGTATTTTTAGGCGGTCGCGGGTAGCCCGTCTAAAGTTCCAGCACTAGCCGTAAGCATGATCCCATCCCGTGCTACTATTAAAGAATGCCCATAATAAAATTGGTAGACATTTTTCTTTTTTTAAAATTTTTTTTTTTGTAAGCAGTGACGACACCAAGAATTTTGGTCAGGAGGGGCTAATTAAGAGTGGAGTCAAAAAAGATTTTTTGTGAGGTTATTATGAAAAAAATAGCAATAATTTTTTTCCCGAATAGAGATATAATATATTTTGTAATTATTGGCACAATTATAATTTTTATTATATAGTGGGGGTATGATTTAAAATTTCATGAGAATTTTAACAAAATTTACATTATACAGCAATAACTTTTCAATTTTTGGGGAAGAAAAAGAAAGTTTTTAACTTTTAGGGGCTATCTACATATTTGACATAAATGAACATATAAAATAACAAATAAAAAAAAAGTTGAGGGGGGCTGAAAATGCAGTGGCTTCGTCCCTGCTTGTAAGAATAAATTGGAAGCTCAACCCATTCATTTCGCTGATTCGAGTTTAGAATTCGAGTTTTGCTACAGTAAAAAGCTCTCACAAACAATCACATCTAACTTTTTTACTACAGTAAAAAACTCTCACATAAAATCACATCTCAACTCGAATCAGCGAACTAAACGGGCCAGTGTCTACTGATTTTTGCCAATTCCCCCAATAAAAAAAAAAAAAAAAAAAAACGTGCAAACAAATTTTCCATTTTGGTTAGACGAACCGTAAGTGTAAAGCTAAATTCTTTTTGGCACATTCAATTTATTTATCTTTTGCAAAAAACACTTTAAACCATAAATGCGTATATTAGAAACTTTTTACCAAATGAAATAAAGTATGTCTTTTATAGTAATTAAATATTCCTATAATCCTATAACAATGTAGTTTAGAGTTTGCCACATCTAATTCTGATTTTGGCATTCACAATCGTTTATTTCTTTCTTTTTTTAAAACTAAAACAATTACCAAACCGCTACATACTAATTGTATTATTAAACTTCATGATTAATTTAATATATGGTCTCTTAAATTGGTATGTTGTTTCAATATGCTTTTCGAATTTTAAAAGGGGTTTATAAGGTCGTGAATTATGAAAAGTAGTTCAAAACACTTATGAACTAATGTTGTTATAAATACCTACTAAATTATTGATTTTATGTCAAATTACTCCCTCGTTCAAAAATATCAAGAACAAATTGACACAAATGTAATAATTCATGAGGCGAATTGACTTAAAATCAATAATTTAGAAAAGTATTGTCACTTTATCATTTTATTAGTTTCACAAATGTAGGAGATATTTTGAATTAGAGTACATAATTCATAGAGTAAAATGAATCATTATTAAAAATTAGGCAGCATGTTAAAATAAGATACAAGATTCAGTGGATATTTATGAAATTAATCTATTATTTTTAGCCTCTAAAAATAAATAAATAAAAACCCATTTCCCTCCTCCCCCTTCTTTAGAACCATTGTAGAAGCCCTAAGTTCTGTTTATTTCACTGATTTGAGTTTTGTTACAGTAAAAAGATCTCACAAATAGTCGCATCTAATTTTTTTACTACTATAAAAAATTCTCACATAAAATCACATCTCAACTCTAATTAAAATCTCAAATCAGTAAACTAAACGGCCCCTAGACATAGGCCAGTTCAACTCATAACTGAAGCGGGCAAAGGAAATTCTTTGCTGAACTCGATGGAGCAGGATCCAACCTAGCAAAGGGCCTTTTGCACCATTTGGGAAGAAGAAGAAGAAGAGAAAAACAACAAGCGTATTCTTCATTATCGAGAGCTCATGCACATAATGAATTCAAAGAAGAATAATCAATATTTGATTCACAATTCAACGAATATATAATAAGTATTTGATTCTTTGCTTAAATTAACCAAAAACCTGTAGAGGTTAACAAGATAAACATGGGTTTTACATGCAAAATCCTTCTATGAATTGGATAAAGTCCTATGCAAAATCCTTAGGACAAGAGCTCTTTTTTTTCTTTTTTTTTCTTGGTGGATTATGAAAATATCAGCAGAAAATGACCAACTATAAGGAGGATTGGGCAGTTCTTTTTCTTTTCTTTTTTTCTTGAAAGGCTTTGTTATTTTCGGTTATGTACCTTTATAATCTAGATTTTGAAGTTGGACATTTAAATTATTTAGACATGATAAAAAACTTGAAAGTTATAGAGTGATAAAAGCATGATTAATCTATAAAAAGAAGGTCATATCCTGTAATTTTTACATTTTTAGGCCGTTGTTTAGAGAAAAAATGTAGAATTTATTTTAAGAGTGCATGAATATGTATTTTTACCTCTTATTCTTAATAAATACATGCTTGTTAGTCTAATTATTTGACTAAAAAAATTATAAATCGAAAGTAAAGAATAAAATTCCTGACTTATGCATTTTTAAAAGGGAGAAAGAGGAAAATATGCCAATACTTGAGATGAATTAAAATTAATAGGCCAATAGTTTACATAAGTTAATAAATATGTCAAATTACTGTTTTTGTCCATAATTTGTTTGGTTATAAACCATAACTTGACAAGTTATTGTTCATAATTCACGATTTTTGTTCATAATTTGTCTGACTATGAACCATAACTTAACAAGTTTGTCCATAACTTATCTGATTATGAATCATAGCTTGACAAGTTATAACCTATTAATTTTTATAACTAAAAATTAAACTATATATTTTCTTAAACTTTTTATATTAGCTTATTTTTTTACCATTTTGAACCATAACTTAACAAGTTTGTCCATAACTTATCTGATTATGAACCATAGCTTGACAAGTTATAACCTATTAATTTTTATAACTAAAAATTAACCTATATATTTTCTTAAACTTTTTATATTAGCTTATTTTTTTACCATTTCTGTTTTTAAAAAGTATTTATTAAGATTACATGATTAGTCTTATTTTGAGCCCGTCGCTATTTGCAAACTTCAAAATCCCAATGTCCCAACGTTTACAAAAATCTAGATACCAAATAATAAGGTGCATTTGAAAAGTAACATTTGAGGTAATGAGAATATTATTGACTAATTAGAAATTGTTTGCCACTTGATGCTAACTCAAATGATTAGGTGTGTCAGTGTGTGCGTGCATCTAACAAAGTTTGAATTCTTTTTATTTTTTGCTAATTAAGTGGGAGCCATAAGCCTAAACCCGTATAAAAAATATTAAAAATTGACAAATGTACAATTGTATTCTCTTTTAAATTAATCTCACTGGTGCCCCATGAACTTTGAAGTCATTTTTATTTTGTCTCATAAACTTAAAAATTCTCATTTTACTCCCTCAACTTTGAATTTGTCCTTAAATCCTTTTATAAGAATTTTTGTTAAAATCAGATGACAAAAAGGGGTTTAAGTATGACTATGTAGTTTTTATCTGTTTGTTTTTAACATAAATTTAAATAGAAAGACTATGTGACTACATTACTCTCTTTTTTCTATATGATTTTAATAGAAATTATGACCGAAGAGGTTAAGTAGGAATAATTTAAAATTCACGGAGACAAACTGAAAAATAACTTTATATTTCAGAGGCATTAGCGATAATATATATATATATATATATATATATTATAGTGCTGGTATCTAATTTATGATAAACAAATGAGTACAAGTAACTTTACTTTAGTCCATTTTGGATATATCATTCATGCATTGATTAAACCAAACGTAACGGCCAGTCTTTTTTTTTTTTTTGTTTTTGTTTTTTTTTTTTTGTTAAGAGCAGTAAATGAGTACACAAGATTGTTATCTTAATTTGTAGAAGGAACCAAATTTACAACTGGCCTATATGACAATTCATAACTTATCTATATTGTTCAGCATATGGGTCAATCCAAATTAGACCAACTTTTCAGGCACGGCGATATGTATGGCAGATCATTCTCCAAAGCACGAAGATCATACGATGGACAGTAACCCTTTTCCCTTTAGACAAAAAAAAAATCCAAGACTACATGATAATAATATTTAGATGGACAAATTAAAAGCAACAAATCTCACTATAAATACCATAATCCAATTCTTACATTTCATCACCACAGAATCCACTCAAATATTCCACCATAACATCCCATTTGCTTCAATTGTTCAAGGGAAAAAAAAAATCAATTTAGACCATGGGATTCATCAACAAATGGCAGTTCGTATATTTAGCCTTGGTCATCTCATTGGGAACTTGGGCCAAGTACAATGTTGAAGCTACGTCCCGTAGTCTCCAAGACGCGTCCACACTCAAGATTAGGCACGAGGAGTGGATGTCTCGCCATGGGATTGTGTACAAAGACGCCGATGAGAAGGCGAAGCGTTTCGAGATATTCAAAGAAAATGTGGCGCGCATAGAAGCTTTTAATCGAGCTGCCATCAAACCTTACAAGCTCGGCATCAACAAGTTTGCGGATCTTACAAATGAAGAGTTCATAACAAAGAGAAATAAGTTCAAGGCACATGTTTGTGATTCTGGACGAGCAATCAGTACTTCTTTTAAGTACGAGAATGTTACTTCAGTTCCTTCAGCTCTCGACTGGAGAAAGAAAGGAGCTGTCACGCCTGTCAAAGATCAAGGCCAGTGCGGTAAAGATTTATTAATCAAATTAAATCGATAATTATGTTTAAACTATTTGGATTGCTTCACTTTGTTAAGAATGTTAATTTGTGACTCTTGCGCAAACAATACGTAGGATGTTGTTGGGCGTTTTCAACAGTTGCAGCCATGGAAGGAATCACAAAGCTATCAACTGGGAAGCTGCTCTCATTATCCGAGCAAGAGCTGGTCGACTGCGATGTCAAGGGTGAGGACCAGGGCTGTAATGGCGGATTAATGGATGAGGCCTTCAAATTCATACAGCACAACGGCGGGCTCACCACAGAAGCCAACTATCCTTATGAAGGTGTCGATGGAACTTGCAATGCCAAGAAGGAAGCAACCCATGCCGCGAAGATAACAGGGTACGAAGATGTCCCTGCAAACAGCGAAAAGGACCTACTCAAAGCCGTCACCCATCAGCCTGTATCAGTGGCCATTGATGCCAGCGGGTTTGAGTTCCAGTTCTACTCTGGTGGTGTCTTCACCGGAGCCTGTGGCACAAATTTAGACCATGGAGTTACAGCCGTTGGATATGGTGCCACCAAGGATGGGACCAAGTATTGGTTGGTGAAGAACTCATGGGGAAAACAATGGGGTGAGAAAGGTTACATTAGAATGCAGAGAGATGTTGATGCCAAGGAAGGACTGTGTGGCATAGCCATGATGGCTTCTTACCCCACAGCTTGATTCTTCTGAATCAAATCAATGTCCACTGCTACTATATTTTCTCTCTTATGTATTAATCTTATAGTACTTTAAAAATACAACTGGAGATAACCATTCTCATTATCTAAAAGGACAGATTTATTAAGCATGTTTCTTCTAGTTGAAAAAGATTAATGAGAATCGCTTGCTAGTGGATATTACATCAGTGTATATAACACGCAAAATGGTATACCGAATCCACTGTTAACTAGCAAAGAATATGACTGCTTTTGCACAGCTCAATTCTGTATGCGACTAAACGTACTTGACACCAAATATCGCCAATATCATAAGCTACTAATAATCTCATAGCATCTCAAAATTACTAGAGCATTCACTTGGTCTTTGTTTTTCTAAGAAAAAGATCACGACAACAGATACAAACAACATAAAAGCAACGGTCGTCCCGATTCGGTAAGAAAAGTCTGAAACACACTACTAGATTTATAACTGGTCTATAACAAAAAAAGGCTCTTACAGCTTCAATTGCTCGACTGGCGCAACTCTGGCCTCACGAAATCTGCATCTTGGGGAACTGAAATGTCGACAGAAGGTCTCAGTTGTGCACATACTTCAATGGCTCCGTGAACTGGATCTGACAGGAAGTTGCTAATGAGGTCCTGGTTGATGGGTGTGTTGTTGTCTACTGCAACCAAGGCCTGCTGAGTAACGATGTAATCAAAGCGGGGAGCCCATTTCCTCGAACCCAAACGAGCTGTTGTTGAACAATTATCAACCATAAAAGAAACTCCGCGAGCGTGCATGAAGGGGTTCAATGAATCCACAGACTCGATCACACTTTCGTTAATGATCTCGGAGTAAGAGTGTCCTTTCTTCCTCAAGATCTCAATCTGAAATATTGTGTTGCCAGGAAGAAAATTATTAGTTAGATGTGTAGTTATGTCATGACACCATCTAATAATCTCTTATTAGGTCATCTAATAATCTCTTATTAGTTCATAAGAAATTCAAAAGGTGAGGATTAGTACAAAAGGCTGACGAGTTACAATTAGTAGAAAAGAACCAGCCATTTAATCTTAACATCACCACCACTCAACACATGTTAAAAGATAAGTCCCATTCAAAATAACAAAAAATTATCAAAGCATGTAAAAGGCAACTCTTTACCTGGGCCATCATCAATGCAACATAAACACCAGCCGTAAAAGGGTACAATGGGCCCAGGTCACCAGCAGGCCGGGTTGATCGTACTCGCTGGCCAACTTTCCACATTCTTGTCTGATCAATCTTACCCATAGGGAAAGCTGGTAGACCCTCCTTTTCCTGTTATAGAAAAGGCATTTACCATGATTTTGCATGATAAAATAGATATATAACTTCAAAGCAAAAGCAACGACAATATCCAATTGCATCTTTAATGCAATGTCAAATTAGTATGTCAATGCCAAATTTTGATATTTGAGTATGAAAATTACTCTCTAATGCGACGTTATTCTTGATGCTAAATTCGGCGTAGTCTATATTGGTGGCAAATTCAGTATCAAGCATAGCATATGACAAATTTTAGCATTCATTTCTATTGGTTAACTACTAACTTTTAACTTAATCATTACAGTATCGGCTTCTCAAATTATTTTAAAATTAGACGTCTATTTTTTACAACTTCCAAAGCTTAACAATAAATGACCAAACGTAAATATAATGTCGAAAAGATAAGAGATAATTAGTTAGGGTTGATTAAGATAAGTTTTAGATTATGATATGCTTAAAGTCAAATAAAACAAATCTGTTTCAAACAGATTCGTTATCCTAGGTTTAGATAAGTTTGAATTCGAATTTTATTAGGATAGATGTTATTGAGTAGATAGGATTTTATCCGTGGCACTCCTAGGGCTAATTATACCTATTTTTAGCGATTAAATCAATAATATAGAAGAGTTTTTTTCCCTTCAAAACTTACATGGTATCAGAGCCGTGGCTGATCTAGAGTGCCAATGGTTAAGACAACTATGACTGGGGCAGTTAAAGGCTCCTTATTGACCGGAGAAGTTGCCGAGAGTGCTGTAGCAATTCAGAATTCCCTACAACTAACGACTCACAAGTTGAATGGAAAGAACTACCTCGAATGGGCACAAACGGTGAAACTCGTTATAGATGAAAAAGGGAAACTAGGAAACTTGACTGGTGAGGTGAAGAAACCAGCAGATAATGATTCCAAACTCAAAACATGGAGATCTGAAAACTCCATGATTACAGTATGGCTTATCAATTCTATGGAGCCGGCAATAGGGAAACCATTCTTATTTATTCCCACTGTCAAGGAGTTATGGGAAGCCGTCCGTGACACATATTCGGATTCGAACTCAAGACTCGGACACAAGAGGAATCAAAGGAGTTTTACCTGGTGACTCGGGATCTGAAATTTCCCTCGGATTGGACGCATGGCATTGCTGTACAGTGGTGGTATCAGAGCGGGAGGTCCTAAGTTCAAACCCCTGTAATTGTACTCTTTATCTCCATTTATCATCATGTGTTGGGTCTTTAATATCTCTCGGACTTAAATATTTACATGTTGGGCTTTCCAATTAATTTACCCACATGATTGTCCAGCCCACACGTGAAGGGGAGTGTTAAAATATAAAACTATTGTTGACCCACCTTCTAATAGCTTAAGCTTTTGGGATGGATTGGTAAATACTTGTAGGGAGAAGCCATACTTACAGCCACTTTCTTGATCCATCGAATGCCCTCAAAAGTTTTACAATTCCAAACTCCAATTCATGTTTTTAATAAATGTTTTCCCACATCACGATTAATAAGCAATATTCCATTAAAAATATTTAGATGCTCTACGTTTGTACACATTCACAATCATAATCGTGGAAAACTTGACCAAAGGGCCAGAAAATGCTTTGACCCAATTTCTCAAAAATATTTTGTTACAATGGACGTAACCCTTTTCGAAACAAAACCATTCTTTGGAGGTGATCATCTTCAAGGGGAGAATAAGAGTGAAGATGACAACCTTAGACATTCTTTTGAGGATATTCTTCACATTGAGCACACTACCCCAGACTCGGTTCTTAGTCCACAAGACCGAGACACACAATGCACTGCACTTGCACCTAACCGAGACACACAATGCATTGCACCTGCACCTGGCACTGCACCCACACATCCCACACCGGACCAAATCATTGAAAAAGATAATCCATCTCTTGAAAACTCGGATTCAGAAAATTCAGATAATGGAAACTATGAACAATTATCTTCTTTGCCTGAACAAGACCACTTAGAAACATAGATGTGTGCGAAACCAAGTGAAAAGGATATTAGGTTTCGTGTCTACTCAAGGAAGAAAAATCATCAATGGGAAGAAGACACCACTGTACAGCAATGCCATGAGTCCAATCCAAGGGAAATTTCAAATCTCGAGTCACCAGGTAAAACTCCATTGATTCCTCGTGTCTAAGTCCGATGAGTCCTTAGAAATTCCTATAGCCCACAGGAAAGGTATTAGATCACGCACTAAACATCCTCTATCTAGATTTGTGTCCTATGATAGATTATCACCATCCTTTTATACTTTCACCTCACAACTTTCCAGTGTCAAAGTTCCTAGAAATGTGCAGGAAGCTTTAATTGTTCCAGAATGGAGGGAAGCAACTCTTGAGGAGATGAAGGCCCTTGACAAAAATGAGAGCTGGAGTGTGGTAGATCTTCCAGAAGGAAAGAAGACAGTAGGCTGCAAGTGGGTATTCACAGTCAAATATAACGATGATGGGAGCTTAAATTGATATAAGGCAAGGTTGGTAGCAAAGGGATTCACTCAGACCTACGGCATAGACTATTCAGAGACATTTGCACCAGTTGCGAAGCTAAACACAGTAAGGGTGCTGTAGGAAATCTCGGATGAGATATTAAAGGAGGATTTTTAGGAGATTTTCTAGTACAGGAAATCAGGGAAGATTACTGAGTCCTAAAGTCTTGGAAAGGGGCTGATCTGTTTTAGATTTCTTTCTCGATTCTGTGTAACAGAAAGTGTATAAATATAGTGTAGAATAGCTTGTAATTAACGATTTACTTCATAATAAAGAATTATTCATTATTCTTCATGGTATCAGAGCCGTAAGGCTAGGCTTTCTGGGAAAAAATTAGGGCAACCTAAAATTCTTATTGTGATTCCAGCCTTAATCGCTGGCCTTATTCTCCCGACTGGTTTATCTCTTCCCAGCCTTAATCGCTGGTTATTCCATTAGCCTTAATCGCTGGTTATTCCATTAGCCTTAATCGCTGATTTAGCCTTATTTCTTCATTACTGACCAATCATATTCAATCATGACGGATATCACCTCTTCGGCTCAATCACCTTCGATAGTTGAGGATGAACGGGCAGCACGGAGCACAACAGAACTTCAGAATATCCAGGCAGCATACAGATTAAATGGAAAAAACTATTTGAAGTGGTCTCAATTGGTTCGAACTTTTTTGAAAGGAAAAAGAAAACTAGGCCACTTACTGGAGCAGGGACTGGAAAAAAGAGCTACAGGTGCAGACGCATGGGAGAAAGAAGATTCAATGATTATGTGATGGCTATGGAATTCCATGAACCCGGAAATTAGTGACACTTGCATGTTCCTGCCAACAGCAAAGACAATCTGAGATGCTCTCTACCAAACCTATTCAAAGATCAATGATGCAGCTCTCATATATGATATCAAGACCAAGACATCAGGTGCAAGGCAAGGGTCGAAAACCGTGACAGAGTACGCCAATGTTTTGCAAAATCAGTGGCAAGAGCTGGATTATTATAGGACAATTGATCTGAACTGCAACAAGTGTGCAGTAGCCATCAAAAAATTCATAGAATGAGACCGGGTATGGTTTTTTGGCTGGCTTAAATTCTGAGTTTGATCTTGTACGTATTCAAATTTTAGGCAGGTCTAAAGTTCCATCCTTGACTAAAACAATCTCCCTGGGCCGTGCGGAGGAGAGTTGCAAAGGCATCATGCTAGATCCACCTTCAACAGAAAATTCTGTCCTTCTAAGCTCTGAGTCACAAGGGCTAATGCTTGATGGTACTGCTGTAGACAAGCCTGGCCGACCAAGTGCTCACAAGGATCGTGATGAGATGTGGTGCACATACGGTAAGAAACCACGACATACCAAGGAGCGATGCTGGAAACTGCATGGGAAGCCCTCCACAAACAGCCGTGAATGGGGACAAAGAGGAGGACAATCGGCATCAGGCTACAGACAGGCTCATATGTCCACTCAAGATTCAACCCACAGCTTTGGAGGATTTAGTACGGAGGAGATTGACAAACTCAAGGGCCTGTTAGGAAAAGTGAAAAATGAGGGACAAAAAACCAGCCCTCAGGCATCAACTCAGGGTATGTGTTCATTGACACTTTCAGGTGAGACTCTAATCTCTCTTGGATTAAATACTTTAGGTAATGAGTTTAGGAATGTTTGGATTCTTGATTCGAGTGCCACCGACCACATGACCCATACCTCTAGCCTATTTAAGACCTATACACCCTATCCGAGCAATCGGAAAATCATAGTTGCTGATGGTTCTGCAACTACAGTGGCAGGAGTAGGAGATATTCAAATCACCCCAGAATTAGTACTTCAAAATGTTCTCCATGTACCCCAACTTTCAACAAATTTGGTTTCCATACAAAAACCTACTCGAGATCTAACAGGTTGTGTTATATTCAATGCTTCTTCTTGTGAATTTCAGGACCCGGAGTCGGGAAAGAGGATTGGACTTGCTAAGGAGCATAATGGACTCTATTACTTGAATGTATCAAGTCAACCGGAATTGAAAAAACCAATCGTGTTCTCATTGTTTTCTTCTTCCAATAAGGATGTTATTTGGTTACATCATAGGCGTCTAGGTCATGTGTCTTTTTCAACATTGAAAATAATGTTTCCTACCTTGTTCAAGGGTTTGGATGTTCAATCATTTCATTGTGATATTTGTGAGTATACGAAACACACTCGTGTACCTTTTTCCATTAGTAATAATAAATCTTCATTTCCCTTCTTTTTGGTGCATAGTGACATTTGGGGACCATCCACCATTCCGAGTGTCTCTGGGTACAGGTGGTTTGTGAGTTTCATTGATGATTGTACGAGGGTCTCCTGGATATATTTGCTCAAAAATAAATCTGATGTGAGCCATATTTTTCCTATCTTTCATGCAATGATCCAAAACCAGTTTGGCACAAAAATAAAAAATATTCGCTCCGATAATGCCCGTGATTACTTCAACCAAACTTTGACTCCATATTTTCAAAAAGAGGGAATTATACATGAATCATCTTGCATTACCACTCCGCAACAAAATGGAGTGGCAGGGAGAAAAAACCGACATCTTCTCGAGTGTACTAGAGCCCTATTATTCCAACAAAATGTACCCAAGTCTTTTTGGGGAGAAGCTGTACTCACGTCGGTCTATGTTATAAATAGAATTCCTTCCAAAGTCTTGGGGTTTAAGAGTCCACTGGAGACTTTGTCTCAATTCTACCCTGACACTCGAAAGTCCTTCAATCTTACTCCTCGCGTATTCGGGTGCACTTCATTTGTTCATATTCATGGCCATAATAGAGGGAAACTTGACCCTAGAGCTATTAAGTGTGTCTTTGTGGGGTACTCATCTACCCAAAAGGGTTATAAATGCTACCATCCTTCCACTAAGAAACTCTATATCTCAGCCGATGTCACTTTGTTGAGTATAAGCCTTATTTCTCTACTCCTTATCTTCAGGGGGAGTTGCCTATACTTGAAGATAAGGAGGAGTCAAGTCTGCCACCACTAGAATTACTCTCACCCGAGTCACCATTACTGGAAACACCCTCACCCGAGTCACCCAAAAACCAAGCAGATAGGAAAATCTTTGATCATTTCCGGTTTGATCAGGTGTATACAAGGAAGAGAGATCCTATTGTGGCTTCAAGGCAGGAACAACTCACTAAACCAACTCCTGGAAATGAGGTAACAATCTGTGAACCAAATTTAAATACATCACCAGTAGATTCTCCTTCCAACAGTGACCTTGATCTGCCTATAGCTGTGAGAAAACAAACCCGAGAATGCACAAAAAGGCCTCTATATCCCTTGTCTCATTTTGTAACTTTTCAGAAATTCTCTCCAAGCCACCAAAGTTTTCTCTCAACCCTAAACACAATTCCTATTCCTAACTCATTATCTGAAGCATTATCAAAGAAAGAATGGAGACTTGCTATGGAGGCTGAAATGGATGCACTGCAAAAGAATGAAACTTGGGAGTTGGTTGATTTACCTAAGGGTAAGAAACCAGTAGGCTATAAGTGGGTGTTTGCAGTAAAGTTTAGGCCAGATGGATCTCTAGAACGCTATAAGGCAAGGCTGGTTGCAAAGGGATATACTCAAACGTATGGGGTGGACTACCAAGAAACATTTGCACCAGTAGCAAAGATGAACACCGTGAGAATCTTGCTATCCGTGGCTGTCAACTTTGATTGGGAATTACAGCAGTACGATGTGAAGAATGCCTTCCTCCATGGAGAGCTAGAAGAGGAAATTTATGAGTATTCCACCAGGGTTTAGTGGAGCTAATAATCACAAGGTTTGCCGGTTAAGAAGGGCATTATATGGGTTTAAAACAATCACCTCGGGCTTGGTTTGGACGGTTTGCCAAGGTGATGATAGCCAATGAATACAAACAAAGCCAAGGTGATCACACTCTTCATCAAACATTCGACCTTAGGGGGAGTCACGATATTAATAGTATATGTGGATGACATTATAGTGATAGGGAATGATGAGGTAGAAAAAAGGTCTTGAAGGAGGTTCTAGCCAAGGAATTCGAAATAAAAGATCTAGGGAGGCTAAAGTACTTCCTTGGAATTGAAGTGGCTCGATCTAGACAGGGAATTTTTATCTCAACAAAAATATGTCACGGATCTACTTAAGGAAACCGAATTGATGGCTAGCAAACCGGTTGGAACTCCTATTGAACAGAACCACAGATTGGGTGAAGCTCTTGGAGATAAGGCAGTGGATAGAGAGGTGTAACAAAGACTTGTTGGCAAACTCATTTACCTCGCTCATACTCGGCCGGATATAGCCTACTTGGTTAGTGTCATTAGTCAGTTTATGCACGATCCTAGAGAAGTTCATCTACATGCAGTCTATCGAGTTCTTCATTACTTAAAAGCACATTCGGGAAAAGGAGTCATATTCAAGAAAGCTTCGAATATGAACCTGGCAGTATACACAGATGCCGACTTTGCAGGATCACCAGTTGATAGGTGATCAACTACGGGCTATTGCACATTCCTTGGAGGGAACTTAATTTCCTGGAAAAGCAAGAAACAAAGCGTTGTAGCAAGGTCAAGTGCCGAAGCTGAGTTCAGAACTATGGCAGCAGGAGTATGTGAATTAATGTGGGTCAAGATTATTCTAGAAGACCTAAAGATTCAATGGAGCAGACCTATGAGACTATATTGTGATAACAAGTCAGCTATAAGCATTGCTCACAACCCTGTGCAGCATGACTGGACAAAGCATATCGAGATAGACAGACATTTCAGTAAAGAGAAGCTAGATAGTGGTCTAATTTGTATGCCATATGTTCCTACGGGGCATCAGCTGGCAAATGTAATGACAAATGGGTTATGTGATAGTATGTTCCATGAGAACATTAGCAAGCTGGGAATGGTGGACCTATATTCACCAGCTTGATGGGGAGTGTAGGAAATCTCGGATGAGATATTAGAGGAGGATTTTTAGGAGATTTTCTAGTATAGGAAATCAGGAAAGATTACCGAGTCCTAAAGTCTTGGAAAGGGGCTGATCTGCTTTAGATTTCTTTCCTGATTCTGTGTAACATAAAGTGTCTATAAATAGAGTGTAGAATAGATTGTAATTAACGATTTACTTCATAATAAAGAATTATTCATTATTCTTTAGGTGCTTATCTCAATTGCAGTCAACTTGGATTGGCCACTACAACAACTAGATGTAAAAAATGCATTCCTAAACGGAAATTTGGAAGAAGAAGTCTACATGGAGCCGCCTCCAGGATTTGACGAGAGATTCGGCTCAAAAGTCTGTAAGTTAAGGAAATCCTTGTATGGTCTCAAACAATCACCAAGAGCATGGTTTGAGAAATTCACCCAATCCGTCAAAAAACAAGGATACACTCAGGGACAGACAGATCACACAATGTTTATGAAGTTCTCAGGGGGGGAAAGTAGCTATCCTAATTGTCTATGTGGATGACATTATCCTCACTGGAGACGATTTGTCAGAGATGGATAGGCTCAAAAAATGTCTAGCATCTGAGTTTGGGGTCGTTGAGACACTTTCTAGGTATGGAGGTTGCTCGATCAAAGCAAGGAATTGTGATTTCTCAAAGGAAGTATGTACTCAATTTCCTAAAGGAGACAGGCATGACAGGTTGTAGACCCTCTGAAACGCCAATGGAGCTGAATGTGAAACTCGGAGATAGCGAGAAGAAGGTTCCTATTGACACAACTAGATACCAAAAGTTGGTCAGTAAGCTGATTTATTTGTCACATACACGTCCAGACATAGCCTTCGCAGTAAGTGTGGTAAGCCAATTCATGCATTCTCCATATGAAGAACATCTAGAAGCCGTATACAAAATCCTGAGATACTTAACAAGTACTCCAGAAAAAGGATTATTCTTTAAGAAGAATGAACAATAGGGGATTGAAGCCTATACTGATGCTGATTGGGCTGGTTCAATAATTGATAGGCAGTCTACTTCTGGGTATTGCACGTTTGTGTGGGGTAATCTAGTTACGTGGAGAAGCAAGAAGCAGAGCGTAGTGACTAGGAGTAGTGCGGAAGCATAGTTCAAAGCTATTTCCCAGGAAATCTGCAAAATACTATGGCTGAAACGTGTGCTTAAGGAATTAAGAAAGCCTATAGAACAACCAATGAGGCTTTACTATGACAACAAAGCCGCCATCAGCATTGCACACAGTCCGGTGCAGCATGACAGGATGAAGCATGTGGAAATAGACCGGCACTTTATAAAAGAGAAGCTTGAAACAGGCAGCATATACTTACCATTTGTCCCGACAACACAACAAATTACAGATATCCTAGACCAATGAGGCTTTACTATGACAACAAAGCCGCCATCAGCATTGCACACAATCCGGTGCAGCATGACAGGATGAAGCATGTGGAAATAGACCGGCACTTTATAAAAGAGAAGCTTGAGACAGGCAGCATATACTTACCATTTGTCCCGACAACACAACAAATTACAGATATCCTAACGAAAGGACTCCACAGACCGAAGCATGAATTTCTGATAGGCAAGTTGGGCATGATTGACATCTATGCACCAACTTGAGGGGGAGTGTCGAAAAGATAAGAGATAATTAGTTAGAGTTGATTAAGATAAGTTTTAGATTAGGATACGCTAAAAGTCAAATAAAAAAAATCTGTTTCAAACAGATTCATTATCCTAGGTTTAGATAAGGTTGAATTCGAATTTTATTAGGATAGATGTTATTGAGTGGATAGGATTTTATCCGTGGCACTCCTAGGGCTATTTATACCTATTTTTACCAATTAAATCAATAATATAGAAGAGTTTTTTTCCTTCAAAACTTACATATAGCATTTAAAATAGCATTTCGCATTGGAGAACAAATCAAATTCTATTTTCACACTTTTTCGGTGCCAAATATAGCATTGGTATTAACATTTGCATTGGAGGTGGTCTTAAGACAATTAATTTTAACACGGTTAAACAGTAGAATATACGAGAATGTAGACATACATAGAATCGTCGCCCTGCCAAGACAACACTGCGGATCTCACTACCACTGGCCACATCTTCATAACACTCGTACAAGATGTCCATGCACGGATAATATGATGCACTATAAGCAGCCTCAAATTCCTTTTTGCCTTCTTCTGACAAGGAGTTGTATACAGCCAACATGCCCTGTTAAAATTTCCACAGTATGAAACAACTATCAACAATTAATGGCAAAATCCAAAACTCTCACACAAGCAAGCACGGCATGAATACATATCATTCACGCGAGAACAAGATGTGAAGTTACGATTGGTTCCAAAATTTGAGCAGAGTAAAACCTTAGTTGAGATGGTTTTTGATATGATTCCAGTGATGCACTCGACGGTGTTCTTGTAAGCCAGATCTTCACTCATTCCATTTTCAGTGTACCTTCTAAATAGGGACTCCACAACACCGTGAACAGCTCCAAGTAAAATGCCTATCAATAATAGTAGTGGTCAGGCATCACAAATAGTGGGAAAACGAAAAAACAAGGGAACGAAAGCAATTCTACCTCGCTCGCCAAAGATGTCACTTTTGTATTCCTGCTCTAGTGTAGTGGCAAACGTAAAAGGAGAACCAAGGGCAACTGACCATCCCAATGCCACATCAGTGGCTCTACCATCAACATCCTGTACAGAAGTTCATCAGTAATTAGAGATCAGTTGAGTAAAACAAGGAAGCACGAAAATAGGGGTTGGGACTAGAGGCAGAAGAAAGACTTTAGCCCACCTGGTGGACGGCAAAACTGGAATTAATTCCAGCACCATTTATCTCTTTTCCTTGGACATAAAGCCTCCTTACAGAAGGACCCATACCCTTTGGACATACAGCAATTACGCTGATATTCTTGGGGAAATCTAGTCCTTCCGACTGCAAATGGCCTAAAAGAAACCCATGGGAAAGCCCAAGGATGCTGTTTGGCTTCATGTGGGAGAATACTTTCTCATAGTTATCAGCCTGCATCATATTATCAGGTTATATCCTTTTCAACAAAACACTTACGAGCAAAATCAATCATCCAATCACAGATTCTAACATTAATATCGATCATCGAAAGCAAATTCACACTACATTCATTCACCATGACAAAGTTTCGGCCAACATTTCCGAGAAGTAATAAAATATAAAATAAGGGTAAAAATAACAGACCTGCGCAGAATCAGAAATGAGCAGCAAAACAAGATCACTGCCTGAGATTGTTTCATATATATCACCCAAAGTCCCATTCTCTTCGGTGAAGCCAGCTGCGCGAGCTTCAGCAAAAGAGCGGGATCCCTTCCTCAATCCAATCTGTAAAATAAAAGGCAAAACATCAGCAAAGCTACATTACCGAATAGCAAAAACTTAAGAAAATAGAAACAAATAATTATAACAATAAAAAACAAAAATAAAAAATAAAAAAACAATAGTAAAAAGAGAGAGTATTACCTTGACCACGATGTCAGACTTTGCTTCAGCAAGAGAATCTCTCAAGTTCTGAGCTTGAGCAGGCCCCTGAACAAACAATGTAATGTATATAAAAAATGACTCTTAGAAATGAAGAAACCAATCTTTACTTCACGAAAACAAAAAATATGAATTAAGAAAGTCCCAAAATTTATACACTTAAACAACTGTCTTAAGTTTAGGTTTTTGACAGAATATCAAATGCAAGCTTAACAACGACGACAAAATAATTAATAAAAATAAACATCAGTCATGTAAATATCAGTAGATCAAAATCATAGAAGTGAAAGAAAAAATAATAAATATTGAAAGAGAATTAACCTGAGAACCCCAACCAATAACGCCAATCTGCTTAATAGCCTTGAACGCATCGTGCAACAAAGGGAACAAATCTCTCCCTCCTCTCACAATATACTGCGATATATAAACAAATAAACAAAAACCCATTTAACAATAGCATCGTATATATCAACCAAACACACACATATAAGAGAGAAGAGGAGAGAGAGACGGAGACCTCTTCATAACCAGCGAGGTTGACCTTCTCCTTCTTGAAAACGGAGGTTTCAAAATCAAGAGAAGTAGGGGACTTGATGGTGGGTACGGAGACCATACGAGCTCCGAGGGCTGAAGGGGAACCAACATTGTTGGTTCTGGCTCTGAGAGGCCTCACGGACTTGGAGGCCACAGAGACGAAGCTCAGGGTTTTGGGAGCCACATGGGTTTTGGAGGAAGTCGACAACGGCGCAGAAATGGCCGCATGGAAGGTGGAAGCAGTGACCGCCGCCATTGATGACAGAAGGTAATGAGAGTGACAGAGAGAGAAGTGTTGAGAAGAAGGGTTTTTGATTGTGGCAGAGAGACCCCTCTCACCACTACTGTTCTAGTATTAATAACCTGTCGCCACGTCTAGGCACCAATAGCAATAAGTGAAGGGTATGTTTGGTATAAGATTTTTTTGGGTTTAAACTCAGAATTTTAATTATACTATAGTATTTTTTTTAAAAAATTTAAATTTTAAAAGTTATAATTAAAATTAATGGTTTAAATTTGTGCGCCAAATGGGTTCGAAAATTACCAATGATTTTTTTTCTTGTGTGTGTTAACAAAAAGAGATGGGTGATCAGAAGAAAAAAAAAACAGAGAGACGTGTTATTTACCTTTTTACGGGTTTTGGGACGTGTTCTTGCATATATTACTGTATGTGTCATTTGAGCAGCTTATTAAAAAAACTCCTTTTAATTTTAAATACATAGTAATATAAGATATTAAAAAATAATTAAATGTATGTGTAATTTTTAATGAGGCTCATTTCAAAAATTAGATTTTTTTTAAAAAATGTCTGTTTCAATCGAAACGTATGTTTATATATCAAAATGTATGTTTCAACTTAAATGTATCAAAACTTATGTTTTTGTCAAATGTTGTATTGTCATAAATAAAATTGAACATGCCAAAAGAAATATTTTGATATGAACACATCAAATAAAAAACTAATTAGTGTGTATATATAGAAAAGAAAAAAAGTTTATGTAAGTGCATATTTGAGTATCATTATTTCAATGGTAATTTTTTTAAAAAAAATATAAAACATATTTAAAAACAAATCAAACATAAAAAACTAATTAGGATGTATATATGATAAGAAAAAGAAGTTGGCTTAAAGGTATATTCGAGGGAAAATATTTCAGTAGAGTAAATAAGAATAAAAAATTAGTCAAACACGTAACTTAAATATATAAAGGATTGTAAGAAAATTACTTGAAGAACATATTGAAAAAAATATTTTAACTGAGAAATTAAAACACGTAACTTAAATATATAAAGGATTGTAAGAAAATTACTTGAAGAAGAACATATTGAAAAAAATATTTTAACTGAGAAATTAAAAAAAATAAGGATTGTAAGAAAACTATGTTCATGGGTTTAAACATCAAATTCATGGTATTGATTATGCGGCAATGTTTTTTTTTTCTCTATATATATTTGAATTTAAAAAGTTATCGCTAATGGATTCTCTCACAAAATTTGAATGAAGAATTAAAACTACTAGTTTGAACCTATGAACCAAATGGGTTCTTGAGTAAGAATGAAAAATATTTTAATTGATAAATTACAGTAGAAAAAATAATTTAACAAAGTGGTTTTAGAGAATATATATGTGAAAAAAGGTCAAAAAATGAGAAGAAATATAAAGAAATACCCGTGTAAATAAAAAAAGGTCAAAATAAATAAGTTTTAGAGTAAAAAGAACAAAACAGAAATAAATAAATAAATATATTTTAAGATAAAAACAATTAACAAAGTGGTTTTAGAGAATATATATGTGAAAAAAGGTCAAAAAATGAGAAGAAATATAAAGAAATACCCGTGTAAATAAAAAAAAGGTCAAAATAAATAAGTTTTAGAGTAAAAAGAACAAAACAGAAAAAAATAAATAAATATATTTTAAGATAAAAACAAGAAAAGAAATAAGAAGAGGGACTTAAAAAGAAAAAAAAAGAGGAGGAGCACTTTCAACCAAAACGTAAAGTGATGCACTTTCTCATTTTATTATATAGATATAGATATGTTATATATGACCCGTTTAGTTTGCTAATTTGAGTTTTTAATTTGAGTTGAGATGTGATTATGTGTGAGAGTTTTATACTGTAATAAAAAATTTAGATATGACTATTTTTAAAATTTTTTACTGTAAGAAAATTTAAATTAGTAAAATGAACGGAGCGATAGATACATGCAGTCCTTTAGTGCTTTTATTTGGACAAAAACAATGAGATGACGAATAGTACGAGTGTTTTTTCTTAAGGTCCGTTTAGTTCGCTGATTATAGTTTTTAATTTGAGTTGAGATGTGACTTTATGTAAGAGATTTTTACTGTGGCAAAAAAGTTAGATATGATTATTTCTGAGAACTTTTTACTGTAACAAAACTCGAATTCTAAACTCTAATCGGTGAAATGAACAGGTAATACTCCTTTGTCTTTTTTGTTCACACTTTACAATTTAGGTATTTTTTTTCCTTTTATGACATGTACATCAAAGAAATTGCACTATATAATTTAAGGATAAAATTATTTTAGTAGTTGAGTTATAGTAAAACATGCTCTTAATATTTTGTGTTTTTAATAATATTAAAATAATATATCGATATTTTTAAAAATTTCTTCTTGATACTGAAGCATATTTTTTAGACATAAAATAATTTTAATATCCTCTATTTAATTAACCAACAATTGATAAATAAATAAAAAGTTTAGAAAATAATTTAGACATTTAAATATTAGAAAAAAAACGTATATAAAAAATAAAAAACAAAAATATATTCTTACTCGTTTTGTTCTTCTAAGTTCTAAAATTTAAAAATGTAAAATTTACGTTTATTTTACTAATTTAAATTTAAATTTTAAATTTTATTACGATAAAAAATTCACAAAAACAACTATATTTAATTTTTTTATTATAATAAAATATTTTTATATAAAATCATATATTAATTTAAATTAAAAACTCGAATTAAACACTTTAATCAAAAACAACTTTTAACAACACAAATCACACTGAAAGTCAGAACTTCAAACAACACAGTTCAACAATACATATCAGATTGAAAGGTCACAACTTGAACAACACAAATTAGAAACAACACAAATCAAGAAACTGCTCAAATCATCCATTCTGCTTCCAATTTCTTCTCCAACATCTCAGACCCTAACCTCCTCCAACCTCTTTCTCTTGCCACATTGTCGAATGGAAAAAAATAAAATAAAACTAACCTAAATCTAAATTTGGGCAACAATTCTAAGGATATCCTAATAAAAAAAACCTAGATGAAAAACCAAATCCAAATGAACTGGTGCAGCCTCATTATTGACGCTCATTGTGCGACCACCAAATCCGCGAGCTTTTACGCACTGAGCTCGCCAGTGAGGGTTCTCCGTGGTCACGAACAGCCGTCGTAGATCTTGGCGGAAAAGGACGGACGCCCAATGGTGGGTCGCCGCGGGATTCGGCGAGATCTTGGTCTTGGAGATCCAAGCTTTTTCCTCCAAAACCCATTCTCCTTCTAAACCCTCCCCCTACCCGCGAGTGTTGAGCCCCACATTGAACCTCCTTGCAGATCTGGTTTGGTTGATTGAGTATGAAATTGGCCAGAAGGTGATGCAGATGTAACGAGTAGACCATATCTCATTTTTACTGGGTTTTATTTCAATTGGTTTTAACTTTTAGGGCCTCCTTCCTTCTTAAGTTTTCAATTTAACTTAAAATATGATATTTTTTAAGAATTATTAATTATAATAAAAAAAATTAAATATGAATATTTTAATAATTTTTAACTATAATAACATAAAATTAAAAATTTAAATCAATAAAATGAACGAGGCATAAATATATTAAAATCAATTAAAAAATTATTTTCAACATTTTTCTCAATTTATTAGTTTTTGCTTAATTAATAAAGGGTACTAAAGTTATTTTACATCTTAAAAATCAGTTTCAAAGTACCAAGAAGATGTTTTTAAAAACGTTGAGGTATCATTTTAATATTATTAAAAATATAGAGTACTAAGAGCATGTTTTATTATAACTCAAATAGGATACCAAAATAATTTTATCCCTATAATTTATTTAAAATTTATTGCAATAGCTTTTTTTAAAAGAATTATTATTGCAACAGCTACTAATAAACTTTTGGGGTAAACCATAAACTATGAAAGTAATTTTTCGCATGTGTTCTTACTTTATTTTTTTTGTTACTAGTTAAAAAATATATATTTTTTAAATGTGTTCTAACTTAATTATTTTTCGTGTAATTTTTATCATATCAAAAATTATCTTTATATATATCCCTTTTCTAAAATTAATTTAAAAAACATTAAATAGTTGTATAAATAAATTTGTTATGAATGGTTCTACATGCATCTCCGTTTTTACTCCCTACAACATAATACAACACATTTAAAAAACTTTTAAATTAGCAAAACAGACAAAATTAATGAAGAAACAAATTATATATATACTAAAGGAAAGCCCCGTTGGCACCGTTCATCCTCTCACGGAACACTATTCATTGTACAGTAACTTTTTTCCCCGATTTTGCCCTTTGTTTTTCTTCTTTCTTCTCTTTTCTGAACGTGGGCAATTTTGTCTTTTCGGCACGATGTTTTTCCGGATTTGCCCTTTTCCTTTCTTCTTCGTTTCTTCCTTAGTCCGTAATTTCGCCTGTTTAGGGCTTCATTGCTTTGCCTCCCTATTGTTATGCTTCGTTTTCTTCTCTGCGGCCGCTTCTTTCATTTCGTCGTTTGCTTTTACTTACTCCTTGCTTCGGCTGCTTCTTATTTTCTGATCTTCCTTATTATTGTTGTTTCTTATTTGATCTTTCTTTTGTTGATGTTTGCGGTGTAGATATTTTTAATTGTCTTTTACTCCTTCTTTTCTCTTTTGATTAAGGAAATTTGGGTGAGATTTTTATTGTTCTCGCACGTGTTTTCGCTGTTTCCATTAGGGATTTTGGTTAGGCCTTCTTTTGCTCTTTTGATTCATCCTCTTCTTCATCTTTTTTTTCTCCGTTATTTCCATCGGGATTTTGTTTGGGTCTTCTATTTTGCTCTTTTGATTCATCCTCTTCTTCATCTTTTTTTTGTGTTCTCCGTTCGATTATTGTTACGGGTTTGGTGTAATCTATTTTTTTTGTTAGATAAATTAGTCTTCTTCGGCTCTGTTTTTAAAATTTTATTTAGTCATTGATAATTTGGAAGTTTCGTTATAATTTTTTTTATTTATTTTTTGAAATATGTATACGTTTGCTAATGATTGTTTGTTTTGTTCGTGGCTGATTTTTACAGGCAGAGTGCATATTTTTTCATTCCTTTGCTA